TCTCTCTCTCTCTCTCTCTCTCTCTCTCTCTCTCTCTCTCTCTCATTTTTAACTTGAAAAGGTGAGAAAAGAAAGACTGATTTTCTGTCACTGGTAAATTCTGACTGAAACCAGCTTGTTGGAGAAAAGAGTTTGTTTAGCTTGCAGGAGACAGTCCATCATTACCAAAGTCATGGTGGGATCCTGGAACAGAAACTGAAGTACAGACCACAGAGCTACTCTGCTAACTTTCCCAGCTACTTTTCAGTTATAACTGCCTAGGCATGGCCCTGCTCACAGAGGGCTGGGCCCTCCTATATAGTAAGCAATTAAGAAAATGCTTCACTGACATGCCCATGTACTAACCAATCTAAAGGGGGCAATTCCTCAACTGATGGTCTGTCTTCCCAGATGTCTCCAGACAATCAAGATTAGCCATCACCATTTAGCTTGCAGTTTGTGTTTCAAGTCCAAGATCAGGTGTCCCACTGGTTTGACCTCTAGTGAAAGGAGCAGACTTCAATCACCAAACAGGAAGTCAAAGAGAGGCTGGGGATTCACAACTTCTTCTGAAAACATTCTCCCAGTGATCAAGGCAGCTTTCCATGAGGCCTCACTTCCCAAAGGATCAAAGGATTTATCACTTCCCATGATGCTTCCCAGGGGACCAAGACTACATTTGCAAAAGTTGTAAATAGATGGGGCGCTGAGACCATAACAGTGAGAAAGAATGGTAAAGCAGATTATGAAATGGCAAGGCGTCCACATTTCTGCCCGGGGAGTGGGGGGGGGAGGGGGGGTGGGGGGTGGGGCATGCAATCTATCCTTTTAAGCTAAAAGGACTCAGGACTCATTGACATCAGGTGATCTCCTGGTGTAGCTGGTTTAATTATAATATTTGTTGTGTAGTATAGTAGTTTGAAAGAAAATGGCTCCCCACCTGGGCGGTGGTGGCACACGTCTTTAATTCCAGCATGTGAGAGCCAGAGACAGGCGGATCTCTGTGAGTTAGAGGCCAGCCTGGTCTACAAGAGCTAGTTCCAGGATAGCCAGGGCTGTTACACAGAGAAACCTTGTCAGAGAAGGAGGAAGAGGAGGAGGAGGAGAAAGAGAAGAAAGTGGTCTCCAAGAGGAATGGCATTATTAGGAGGTATGACTTTGTTAGAATAATAGTTGTGGCCTTATTGGAGGAAGTGTGGGGCTGGAGAGATGGCTCAGTGGTTAAGAGCACTGACTGCATTTCCAGAGGTCCTGAGTTCAGTTCCCAGCAACCACATGGTGGCTCACAACCATCTATAATGAGATCAGGCATACATGCAGGCAGAATACTGTATACAAAATAAACAAATAAATCTCTTAAAAAAACAAAGAGGAAGTGTGTCACTATGGGGCTGGGCTTTGAGGTCTCCTGTGCTCAAGCTAGTCCCAGTGAGACAGACTACTTCCTGGTGCCTGCAAGATATAGGACTCTCAGCTACTTCTCCTGCCCACGTCTGCCTGCATACCGCCATATCTCCCTATGATGATAATGGACTGAATCTCTGAATCTTAATTAAACATAAATGTTTTCCTTATAAGAGTTGCAGTGGCTGCTGGGTGTTAGTGGTACATACCTTTAATCTCAGCACTCAGGAAGCAGAAGCATATGAATCTTTGTGAGTTTGAGGCCAGACTGGTCTACAAGACAAGATCCAGGATAGTCAAGGCTATCCTGAAAGAAATAGACAAACACTGTCTTGCAGGAGTGGGGGGAATAAGTAGCCATGTAAGCTGTTTGTAACATTTTGGGGGCTAGAGAGATATCTCAGTGGTTAAGAGCACTGAGTGATCTTCTAAAGGACCCAGGCTCAAATCTCAGCACCCACATAGTAGCTCACAACTATTTGTTTATAACTTCAAAATCGGATACCCTCAGACAGACAATCATGTAGGCAAAAAGCTGAGGGTGGTGGTGGAGGTGGTGGAAGAAGTGGTAGTGGTGGAGAAGAAGGAGGAGGTGGTAGAGGAAGAGGAAGAGGAGGAGGAGGAAGAGGAGGAGGAGGAGGAGGAGGAGGAGGAGAGATGGCTCAGAGGTTAAGAGCAGTGACTGCTTTTCCAGAGGTCCTGAGTTCAATTCCCAGCAACCACATGGTGACTCACAAACATCTATAACGAGAGCCCTCTCCTGGCTTGCAGGCATCCATGCAGGCAGAACATTGTACACACAATCAATAAATAAATCTTAAAGGAAAAAAAAAAAGAGTTGTTGGGGTCATGGAGTCTCTTCACAGCAATAGAAGCCCTAAGACATGTAATTATATATGTCAAAACATCAAATCATACATTTTAAATATGTGCAATCTGTTGAATAGCAGCAAAGACTTTTAAAGCACCATTTAATTATCATCACAGTTAGCCAAACACTGATCCAGGCAGGGAACGCCCCCTATGGTGGGGGAAAATCAACTAAGAAGCAGGACAAAATGTATTCCGATTAGCAAGAATTAACAGCACCTCGAAGTCCACATTAAAGATAACAAATCTCCAGGGAAAGCGATCAATCAAGACCACAGTTAAAGTAAACCAGGGACAGTCACAGATGCAAAGATTGAGAATGATCTTTGCGTAATGCTGGAGGCCCTGAAAAACTGTCATCTTTACACCCTGAATAGAATAGAAAATGACCTGAGACATGACTTTCTCTCAGGAGTACCCCATGCTCCCTAACCCATCCTGTGAGGCTTGCTACATTAAACCTTCCCAGAGAATGTTTTTTATTGTGAACTCTCTAATTGTCTGAGCCCACACCCTGCTGCCCCGTGGCTTAGAAGGCAAAACAAGACTCCCACTTTCCCTCTCTCCGTTTTTATATAATGATGTTTACCAGACTGTCTTCCCACCTTCCCAGGTCTTCCCGGGGTACCTGTTTTCTGTCCCCCGCAGCAGTCCTTCCCCTTTCTAGACCTGGCTTTATGTAACAACCTCTTTAGGCAGACCCTTTCTTGGTTTCCTCATTAGATGGTCACCTACCTGCCTTTCCTTTCTTTAGAAACCAATCTATACGGGCCATATTTCTGAGCCCCAAACTGGGACGTGTGGATGTAGCTTTATGTTGCTTGGATTCTCCTCAGACACCTGCAATCACACACACACACACACACACACACACACACACACACACACACACACACACACCTGAAAATAAATATTACCAAAAGAACACTGTTAGCTGGGTCTAGGTGTGGTGGAGCATTTGGGAGGCAGAGATAGGTAGAGCTCTGTGAATTCAAGGCCAATCTAGTCAAGATGGTAAGTTCCCAGCCAGCCTGTATGTGGTGAGACCCTGTCTCTGAAACAAAAGCAGCCTGTTAGGTGAAGAACAGAAGTCATCTTTGTTGGAAGAAGTCTTGGAGTAATTCCCCAAATTTGAAAAGCCTCCTTCTCACTGGACTCCTGAGTGCCACTGTTCTTTATGGTTACCAGTATGGCTGTTGACAGACCATGTGCTCATCCTTCACCAAAAGCAGGTCACTGCCTTTTGGGCCTCAAACATTCCATATCAGTAGTCACTGGGACTTAAGTGGAACAGGCGCTTAAAGAGAAAACTGGTTCTTAAATAATGGCTCTTCTGAAAAATCCTAAGACTCTTTCCCACCCCGCTCTCAGACTGTGAGTGTGGGCTAAGCCCCAGACTGCCCTAAGGTTATACTGTTGTCCTCTCCTCCTGCCAGCTCCAGCTCCACAGGGTACTTTCAGAACATCAATTTTGCAGCTGTTGCAGGCTCTATACTGTGTTCACTGCAGGTGACTTGAATCATGGACCTCAGG